ATATATATATATATCAATTATATAAATTATATATATATATATATATATATATATAATTTTATGCTTAAAATTCATATTTTCTACATAATAAAGACTTTAATTAAGTTTAATAAGGTGCCAGAAATAATTATTTCCTTTCCTAGGTGTAATTCTTTTTTACCTTTATGACAGCATATTTTTTTTAAAACATAGCGCTGCAAATATCAATGTCAAATCATTCAATTAAACCCACTGCTAAATTACATGCACATACACGCAATCTAATCCAATTAGCAAACGTTAGAACCAGATACCCTTTTCAGCTTTTTCTGCTGTATTTTCAATATCTAGATCAGTTCCTGTGTAATTTTTTATCCCAAATGGCGTCTACCGTACAACTCTTTCCGAATACTCCTAAAATACAGCACTATTTTATTTATTTAACACTCAACAATACTGGATTACTGAGTGATAGTACTGTAAATAATAACATAAATAGTACAACTTTATCAGAATCTTTACAATCTCAAAGTGATGCTGCGTATTGGATATGTTTATCAAATATCCTTCCTCCCTCATTTTAGCAGATAAAAAAGCAGGACATTCAATTTCAGATCAGTGTGTTATTATTTATGAACAAGAGGCCACCTCCGTCGCCATCGTCTGATGGATTTTCTGATTAAGTGCTTCAGGTGCAGATAAAATGATGTCTGTGTATCGGCTTGCAGCTTCATCTCTTCTCAGAGCATTTCTCATGGCAATATCTGATTCAGTTAGACCTCCAACCTCCAAACTGGAGTCACAATTTGCTTTGCTGACATTGATTCAACTTAATCCATAAAAAAAATTGCAATTTCTCACTACAGAACACTCCTTTTCTGCTAGTATCACTCAGCTAAAACTGCATCAACACATTTTGCATAACCAATTTCAGATTTCTGCTGAAATGCACAAACTTTTTAGCCATGGAAAATATATTTTTACACATTATGCTAATTTGCAGTATATTTACTTCACGCATATAGCTGATTTTCTCAAATGTAAACAATCCGTCCACCAATATGTTTGATTGTACATATACAGTATGGCTTATACAGAAAATGTGTAACTTTTTTTTTTTCATTAAGTCATTAAAACCGGGAGCCGTTATTAATATGCGAGGCATTGAAACCGCTTTTGAATGCATGCTCGCTTTTTACTTTTACTTTCGAGATTCTGATCACATGCACTCTGTGTATACTACGGAACGGCAGTACTTACCACCCATTTTACAAGATTAGATATTTGTCAGTGGTGCTCAGGATCTGCAAATCATTCGTCATCGTCCAATCAGTCATCTCTCCTTACTCTGTTTACGTGGTAAATGAAATTTTATGTACTGTAATGTAACAGGCAACCGCTAGCAAGCAGCTAAACATGTCCCTTTAGTGGCCCGTAGAACACGTTGTTCATTTTTCGCGCCTACGGATTCACTATCCGGGCACGTCCCTACTTCCCATAATAACAAAAGGTCAATAATTAATATAACAGTTTTCCAAACACTTGCCCTCGCTGAAAATGTGGCAGGACTATTTGTTTTTCCTCCTCCATTGCTGTTGCTGTTTTCTTCCGACAACATCATGTTATTATTATATTATCTAGAAAATTTATTTTTTAAATTTGTGAATTGATGCGAATCGCTAGAAGACTGAATCACGATTCATATGTGAATCGATTTTTCCCCCACCCTTATTGTAAAGTGTTTCCAAATTATTTCACTATGCAAAAAGAAAGTGCATGAGTCACATGAGAGATATGAAGCTTAAAAATCTGTTGCCAGAACAACTCATTATATAAAAATATTTGACCAAAGAATGCTGCGATTGACCGATCAAAATCAAGTATTCCATAGGGTCATGTAAGTAGAATTATACAGCTCTTCTAATTCTAAAGAATTAATAAAAATGTAAAAATGTTCGTCAAATGTCATTAATAAAAGTTTAAAGTAAAGCAGTGCTACCACAAATCGTTCTAGCTCCATCTCTGGCTCTGCAGCTGGGCGGGAGAAACTGACAGAAGATGAGAGGAAGAGGGAAGGAGAGACACTGGGGGGATTCTGAGCCAAAGCGAGGGTCTGCGTTTCGCCTGCCAATGTCTTTCCTGCTCAGGCTGAGAACACAGGGAAGATGTTGTGCTGGGTCACAGCTAGCGCTGTTCAGCCCCTCCTGTGAGCAAGATGCCTACGTGCAAGAGGGCCAAGACATTTGAAGGAGTCTATGAGCCTCTGTTTAGAACTCCAGGCCGATTTAGAGCTTATATGTTGTTCAAATGCTATTATTGCTCAGTTATTATTCCTCATACTTAAGATTGAAGGAACAGTTGACCCCAAAATGAAAATTCGCTGAAAATTTTCTCATCCTCAGGCCATCCATGATGTAGATGAGTTTCTTCATTGAATCAGATTTGGAGAAATTTTGCATTGCATCACTTGCTCACCAATGGATCCTCTGCAGTGAATGGGTGCCGTCAGAATGAGAGTCCAAACAGCTGATTAAAAACATCACAGTAATCCACACGACTCCAGATAACATCTTGTGAAAAGCTGTGATTGCAATAAACAAACTCATCAAGATGTTTTTAACTTTAAAAGTTTCTTCTGGCCATAATCAATTTTTAAATCAGCTGTTTGGACTCTCATTCTGATGGCACCCATTCACTGCAGAGGATCCACTGGTGAGCAAGTGATGAAATGCTCAATCTACATCTTGGATGGCCTGAGGGTGAATAAATGTTCATTTGTGCGTGAGCTATTCCATACGGTGACCAAGAAGTGCAAAACAAATCACAATTCTGAAAACAAAATAACAAATTACAAACGCAAATGCAAATCTAAAAAACAAAATAACAATTCAGAAAACACAACAACAATTCCGAAAACATTATAACAAGTCAAAAAACACAATGACAAATCCGAAAACAAAATAACAAGTCAGAAAACACAACGACAAATCAGACAAACCGGAAGAGGTAGGTATAGTTTGAGACAGCGCCATTGGTTTGAGAATAGATTACTTACCGCTGACTGGACGAGACATCTGTCAATCAAGTTATACAGGAAGAACAGCAGACTAGCGGTAGAAAGTTCGGAGATGGTATTAAAGTAGCTCAGTTTAAATGTATTGTATGAATTGCCCTTACTATGGAATAAAAAATATGCATACATTTACAACACTGTACTCTGTATTATATTACCTTTGAATCAGAATACAAAAAACTAGTTAACGCTTTTGCGAGGGTGTTTCTAATACAGCCTCTGGGAGTGACGTAAATTTGACATAGTTCTCTCTTCTGACTGCCGTTATCAGTATCTCTCTAATTTTTTTCTTCTTTTTATAAGTTGTGAAAATACTATTGTGGGTTTTTCTTTTGCTATTTGAGCAAATGGGAATGCAAAAAAAAAAAAACAGGCAGAGGTGTGTTAAATTAGGATTTTTTTATGTGGGGCGGAGAGAATTTAAAGGGGAGAATATAAATACAAAATATTAAGAGTTGAACAGTCTTTTTATTAGGAAAATTAAACAAATTAAGTTATATCCAACAGCATTAAGACACAGTTCAAAAGTAGAAAACGGCCTTATTGAACATGCAAATTGATTCTCTGCCAGTAGGAGGCGCTTTTGGAACGGTTTCCCTCGTAACAGCTGTACACAAAAGCTGCGCAGCTCTCATAAATGCTACTTTATCAGGCAGTATTTTGTTTTCAGATTTGTCATTGTGTTTTCTGACTTGGTATTTTGTTTTCAGATTTGTCGTTGTGTTTTTTAACTTGTTATAATGTTTTCGGAATTGTTGTTGTGTTTTCTGAATTGTTATTTTGTTTTTTAGACTTGCATTTGCGTTTGCAATTTGTTATTTTGTTTTCAGAATTGTGATTTGTTTTGCACTTCTCGGCCACCGTAATTCCATAATGATTAGCATCTAACTCAAAGTACTAAACATCTGATCTGTGCTGCAGACATCTTGATTTCTCAAATCATGCCATTTTAAGGTGTGGTTTGCTGTTCATTTTTAGCAGACTTCAATGATCTTTGTCTGGCAGACAATAAACCTTCCCAAAGATATTATAAACGTGTCATGTTGCTTGGCAACAAGGAAAAAAATAGCTGAGCATGTAAAAAGTCAACTTTAAACCAGAAGGTAACCTCTGCAATGTGCAATGAGTGGCACTGGTCAGATAGATTTTTAGCAAATGAAGTATAACTACTGAGTAAATGTCACATAAGGTCATTAATATACATGAGATGGCAAGATGGCAATTGTTATAAT